TTATCTATCTATCTACCTTGCTTGACCTTATTATAATAATCAAATTAATGCTATGCTGCTTGTCTACTATCGAGGATAGATGTGGCAGCTTTTTACCTGCAGTTTCAAATCATATGAAATATGCTGTGGGGTTCGATAATTTAAAATTAGTGATAATTTGTGACATTTGTGGTGTATATATGATTAAATGCTAGCTATTGATGTAATCCTATATCATGGTTCCTTAATTTGTTGATGTATATATGGTGTAAATATTATTGATGTACGTACGTAGCTGGGTAGAAACTAGATCTTGCATGTGTGAATAATTCTTAGAAATCTAATTAAATATATTCATAACCCTGCGCTATGTGGAAACTAGATCGATCTTGCATGATAAATAAGAATCCAATTGATTAATTCAGTGCCAATGGGCAAAAATAAATGGTTAATAATACTAATTATTAATACCCTAAAATTATCAAGCTAGGTTTCAAAGAGGGTTGTTACGTCGAAGGAAGTTGGATTCAAAAGAGAGCTCAAACAGGCGAATTAAGACCCAGTACCATATGGATATTAATGGTAGCAGCTAACATAATGGTGTAGTTAGCTTGTCAAATCGATCCGAATAGCCTGTTGGTTATTATAGTTGCAATAATATCAATCAACATACTTAAAAAAATCATTTAAAAAGAAAATTAATTCCTTCGTTATTCAAAATTCGAAAAGTGTCCTGTCATATAAAATGAAGAAAAGGAAATACACTCAAGAATATATTATTTTTTTAAGAAAAAAGAAAATTAAAGAAATATTTCTCCCTTCAATTGTATGTTTTCTGGAAAACTTTTCCATGGAAAACACGAAGATATAGATTTAGTATTCAAATGCAATATTTCTTCCCTAATTTCAAAAATTGGAAAACAAGTTTTTTAATTTTTCAAATTTGTATTGAGTTTTAAAAACATGAATTATTTTTTATATGTTAATTTGCATTGGTTTCTTTGTAAGTTTTCACTGTTTTTCAAATGAAAAACAAATCTTTTCAATTAAACTTATCACGAACTATATATATATATATATATATGTTTGTGTGTGTACACGTATTTTTGTCAATAATATTAAATTGTTTTGCCTTCCTAATAATAAATAAACAATTGTCCAATTTCACCATCTCTCTTAATTGACAAGAGGCGGCCCTTATTTCGCCAACATAACATTGTGGAGGAGTTGAATCAAATCATAATCATAAACCCTTTTGAAAAGTTAATTTAGAATATATAGATTTGTTGTCCCACAAAGAGAAGTGTCATAATGTGTAACCATCAAATCTTGTACAACTTACATGTGAACAACCCACCACAGTGCCCATTTTTGGCTATTCAGTCGTCCAACGTTTTTCCATATAAATAAAAGTTCATATACATATGTCTTCACTTGCAACTGACCGTTTAATGAGGTTTACACTCTATTACTCCAACCTTTTGACCTCTGTGCTGATCTAATCCTTTACCAATTAAGGCCAGATGAAAGAGGATATTGATCTGAGTTCCTGAACTAATTATATATATATATATATGAATCAAAATACTATCTAACGCGTTGAAATAATAAAATAATTAATTCAAAACATGCCAATCAAAACAATATGTAATTCGACTAATTAACGACCAAAAACCTCTAGTTTCCAAACAGTTGTAATAAAGCATCCAGCATTTGCATTTGCACATATGCGCTTCAGGACCAACAAAATTGTGGAGAAGAAAAATGTTGTCGACCTCAAGTAGTAAAGTATTGGTAGAGAGAGCAATATCTATCAAATGAATCTACAAAAGATCTTCCAAGTCCAACAAACTTCCAGATCTCTTATAATAGGATTGACCAGTCTAAATAAACAGGTGTCTAGAAAGCAAATAAAGATGATCGTTTGCCAAGCAGATACTGGCTCATGAAAAGTTGCAGCACATGATTCTGCAAAACAAGGCCATATTATATCAATAGGACCCCATGAACAAGGACTTTCTACGATATGTTTAGGCAAGAAGATTCTCAGGACAAACTTATTATATATTCACAAGATTTTTATCCAAAAACATCAAACCCTTTTCACTCTCACAAATCCGTACGTACAGGTTGCTTAATTTGCTAATGGAAACTTGGTGGGCATTATTGAGATAATGGGGAGCAGAAAAGATGCCAACTTTGATTGAATTTGGAAGATAAAGGAGGAAAAAAAAGGCAGGTTTAATGGAAGTGGACTAAAAAGGCTGCTTATCAAGATAAGGGAATTAGAATATGACAGTTAAAACCTATATGAATTTGATGCGTTTAACATGAAATAAATTTATTAAGTACTTAGTTTAACTACAATTAAAATATAAGTTTTTGTGCTTCAACTACAAGTCGATCTCTCTGATTCTTGATACCTCTCTTTTTTGAAATTCTGGTACAAAACCTGTACGGACTCAATTTTGAAACGATTCATAGGTTCTGATTTCTGAACCATATGGTTTGAAGATGACGACCACTTTTCTCTTCCATGACACCATTTTTCTGGTGACTAAGTTACATAAAAAGAATGTTTTACTTATTTTTCTGTAACAAAAAAGTTGAAGTTCTGCTTGCTAACAAACAAAATTCCATGACGTTGACAAGTAATACAGATACTCACGCAACCATCAGGAAAAAAAAAAAAAGAGTTTATTTCATTTTGGGCAAGGAACCAAAAACTGGAACAGAAGCAAATACCTGCAGAGTCCCTGTCCTTTTCTATGGGTTAGCGTCTGGATATGTAAGTAGAATGGCAATTCAGCCTGACCCATCTTAAAAACCCCGAATATCAAATTAATGGTAGTGGCCTCAGCCTGTGGGCTGTTCCTACTCTTCAAGCCACGTCCGACCCGACTAGTTAGATATCACCTTTTTTTGTTTTGGTTTTTTTGCTCTTATATGTACATTATAAAATTAATATATTTTATTAAACATGATAATTTCTTAGATTAAAAAGAAAAGTATTTGCTTTTTGGTGCTTTAAAGAAAATAACACCCCATGCAAACCTAACTAAAAGTGCCCAAACAGGAACCAAGTTATACACTGCACCATCAGAGTGCAACAATGTCCAAAGGAAATGTGTAGTCGGAAGGACAAAACCAGACCCAGCCCACTACCATCACCATCTGTGAGAGGTAGTTTGGACGGTTCAATTGGATCACTGCATTGCATTAGATACAATTACCATTTCATTTTCTTTCTTCTCCAGCATTTCTATTCATCCCTAAAAGGACCGGCAAATATTTCATATCCTCGTATTTGAGTAGAAAGCAAACGCCAAACATTCAATAAGTCATCGTGCTAAGTCTAAAATACCCCATCGTTCAATCCCCCGCTTCAACAGCATTTTGGGCAGCAGAAAGTGTCTATGGCTTCTCCCTTTTTTTTTCTTTTTTTTGTTTTTTGCATATCACTGTCGTATTTTCTAACTGCTTCTAGTAATCTAGAAAATGCTTCGGTTACAAATTTTGCTCCCCAATTATTAAATTCGTAATGCAGCCAGGAAGTACATTTGAGTTAAACATTGAGCTTCTGCAAGTAATGCCAGCTGAAGGAAAGTAGCCCAATTGTCATTACAAGAATCTCGGGTAAATTATGGCACTACAATTTTGTTGATCGGAGAATTCTAAAAGGGTACTAGCATGATAGAGTTTCCCAGTGTTGGAAGTTGTCAGTTCCAATTTCCCCCACTTATTTTCAATTCTAATATTGTAAATATTCCCGGCCATTACATGGTTTTGCTTGAAAAAATGTTTAGCACCCTCGCTCTTTCTCTCTCCCTACCTCTCCCTCTCTCCCACGAGCAACCTATGTTCAAATCACGAAAGGTAAAGCAAAATGCATAACATGAAATGCATTCCCCTCATGTTCAGATAAATTCAGAGCTACCAAAGGAGGTTGGTTGCGAAGAAAAAGGTCTTAGTTTTCAGCTAAAAATCTTCTTAGTTTCTCAAGAATTTTCCACTTTGATGTACTGGTTTCTTTTTCTTTTTCTTTTTCCTTTTTAATTTCAAGTTTATCGGAATGGATGACAATGGCTATTTGATATCAATTATATCATGCTCTATTGGATGCATGAGCTAATGAGCACCTTAAATATTGATAATAATACATTACTGAAAGGAAAAAAAATTGCAAAGATTGGTTACCAGGGTCGAGCAAACGCCAAACATTCAATAAGTCATCGTGCTAAGTCTCAAATACCCCATCGTATGGCCTTCGTCACCGGGCAAAAGATGGTTTTATTAACACTCCTACAAAAGTATATATACTTAACCATGTAGTACCGAGAATGTTTCTTTACACTCCATATCATGATCAGGAAAATATCCACAAGAGCTCCGAGAACTTATGCATACAACTTGACATTGCGCTTTAAAAATAAAACCAACAGGAGATTATTACATACGAGTTTCAGTTATGCTCTTGTGCCAGAGAGAGATCTAGTTGAGTCTTTCCAGTCACCGACAAGTAAGCATGTCAAGAAGAAACTGTATTGCTTCAAATCAGTCAAGGTTATGTACGATCAATTAGCAGTTACTTTCTCAAGGCTTTTGGACACAAATTAGCAGTAAATTCAAAAGTTATTGCAGGGTATACCCACCACGTCAATTAGCCATTGGTAACAGAATACAGAAAATTCACATTTATATGTGGGTACTCTTACTGCCAAATTAAACTAAGCTGCAAAGAAACAGAGACAGAAAGAGATACAGAGGCAGAGCAGACGTGTCATGTGGGGGTTTTCTTTACAGGTCAATAGCACATTGAGCTTTACCTAGTTCCATGAGGGATGGTGAAAACAAATTTAATGAATTACCAGGAAAGAATAATCAGTCTGGATAGAAGGAAATGCAGCACAGAAAACTCAACCACATTCCTTCTCTTGAGCTAAATCAATGAACTGTTCCTCCAACTCCAGTGAGAGTGAGAGAGAGAGAGATTGGCTGTACCTTAATGGCATATTATAAGTTCACTCACTTAGGTTGCAATTTCGAAGGTATGGATGATCATACTTGATGTACTTGGTCCAATATGGTCGATATTTAGTCATTGCTAACTCCAGCCATGGCTTCATGTTACCGTTATAGTGGACAACAGCTGCATTTTCAATTTCTGACCTATCAATGCTTGGATTATAACCCAACCCGAGCACATGCCATGACTTCTCAAGAGGATGTGTCAGATTATAAAATGTAATCAGCCCTGGAGGCAATGTCCCAAGCTTCCATAGTACCCTATCTTCATTCTGAAATTTAACAAAATCGAAAAGAAATTCAGAATATTACTTAAAAAGTTCACCTTTAAGTCCATTCAAACAGTAACAAAACAAAAACTGTACCTATATGCCAATACTTCAATGAATGAAAGAGGTAAATTAAAAACATCTTTTTTACACACTTTTGGTTTGGAAAAAAAAAATAGCCAAAGCAATACCAAAATTACAAAATGCAGGTTTGAAATAGACAAACTTGCTCCACGGCACCTAGTTTAAAAATGTTATGAACAAAAAGAGCACATGTAGGAAGAGCACAACAATGCATGAAATATGCCAGGGGTTTCAAAAACTTACCATGTTTTGCCACTTGTGGTATATTCCAGTAATATCCTTCTTTTTCCACACCTTGAGATCAAACATATTCATCCCATATGCCCACCCACAAGCATTTGGATCAAAGTGTCTGGCAATATGGGGATTTGAAAAGTTAAGGTACTTATCAAACCGGTGAAAACTTTCACCACAGGTTTCCACTGCCCCATTCACTTTTCCATGTAGATCCACTGACCACAATTTAGCTAAATCTTTCTGCACAACAATGTCATCATCAAGAAACAGGATCTTATCCAACTTGGGATAGACCTGTGGGAGATAGAACCTCAAGTGGTTAAGCATTGAAAGATACTTAGGGTTCCGATACTTCAGATTTGAAGAGCCAGATGAGAGAGAAGTTGGATGATTTGCTTTGAAGTAGTACTCTTTCATTGCAGCAGATTCAAGCTGACGCAGAACAGGGCAGTAGGATGAATTGAGCCACTTGAATTCATCCACATTTTCAACATGGATGGTAGCTTTTCCCGGAGGGTTCAGTAGAAACCACATATTCATCGCTCCGAAGTTAAGTTTATCAGTAACAAGATGAAAGACATGTTTGGAAGAATCCTGTAATTGCAACCAAGAAGCATATCAGAAGAACAAGTGGCTTGCATCCAAATCCCAGAAAATGAATGGAGTGTTTGAACTAAAACATTCTTCGGAAAAAAAGTTAGTTGAAGAATAAATTCTAAAAATAGCTCAGGAATGATTTTGTTGTTTTTCAATTTGGGAAATGAACATTATTGATATCACAGAACAAAAAAAAGTCTGCATCACCTTGGCATTAACAATGGTTGAGTTGACAACAACTGATGCAGCCAAGACATTGTCAGAGAAGAGGGCATAATGGTAAAGATTTGGATTTTCCAAATTTTCACTTCTAGGAAACTTTCTCTTCTCAAGAGGAAGTAGATAGTAATCAATTGTTAGGCGCATAGACAAGCAATGGATTCCATTTGGAACTGTTTTAGCAGCCAACTGACTCAGGAATGTGCTCTGTTTTTTCAAGCTCCTAACTTGTTCATCTGCTGTTTGAAGCATTGCTCTGAGCTTTCCAGTAACCAACTTGCAGTCATACAATTGTTCTCTTGCTTTTGACAGAACTTGGCCCATAGCTTTCATCTTTCCAGGTGCGCTAAACATAAATCAAGCATGCAACATAACATCCTTTTTAAAAGATTGCCATAACAATCAACATGAAAAGAAGAAAGATATGTAGATTATAAAACACACTAAAGGACAGTGACAACCAATACTGTTCTACCTCGGATGTAGATCAGAATCAGCCGACGACTCTCCTAGGGCACGCTGACTCTCTTTGAGCCGAGTCTGGAGTTCCTTTAGCAAGTCAAGCTTGTGTTTCATCTTCGCAATACTCAAATACACCCTTGCCATTATCATCTGATCTCTCATTAAACGCACTGTCGAATCAGAGTTCTCATTCTCCATTTCTTTCCTCCATATACTGTATTTGCCCAAAACAGCACCGTCAACTAATTTAGAACGCTCAATGGCTGCATTTTCAAGTCTTGCAGTTGCTTCATCATCATGGTGCAGTAACTCCGCAACACGCTTTTCACGTCTTTTCTCCCTCAATTGCTGCATAAACTCTCAAGCCAACAAAGTTTACAACTCAGAAAGCTATTTACAATAAACAATAATTTGATAAAAACTTCAAAATTTTCCTAGTTCATGGCTATGGATCTTAAGGCAAGGAAAGGAGCCATAATAACAAGATAATGAATCAAAGAAAGATAATTACCCTTCGAGCTAGTTTTGCAGGTGTGGAACCAGATTGAGAATTATCATCTGCAGGGGATAAACACAAGAAGACCAGATAAGCACTCGAGCAAGAACCATATGAAAATATCTGGTTAGAGAATTATATCTACCAGAAATGTTGTCATCTTTTCCCTTAGGTGCTTCCTGCTTGACGGACGTAGTAGTTTGGTTTGGCTTTGTAAAAGCAATGAAAATTCAAACTTACAAATAATCAGCAATCACAAGTTGACATGAAACTCATAAAAATGGTGCACAAGACATAGTATTAAGCACATGATTCAACCAAAGCATGATAGTCATCCTAACCTCAGAAGTAGCATTATCCTCAACTGAAGTCTCTATGCCAATAACTTCCCATGAGGCAGACAAATTGTTTTTTCTAAAAGAATCAAGACTCAAAGGCCCCAAATCAGCTGTGCTGGATGCAATAACATCAATGACCTAAAACAAAGATTCTTTAATTATGACATCATGTGATCTAAAAGTAAAACAAAAATCCAACTACCACATCGAGAATTAAAAAACACGAAATCTCCAAGTAAAATATCAGAAATTTGTACTTGCCTCTTTTGAGAAAAAAGGTTTCACATGTTGCAAGGCCAGCCGTTCTCTCCAATTCAATTGCTGGACCAACCAACCAATTGTTATTAGAATTACATAAGGCGACGCCGATGCACAGATCATATCTCAAAATAAAAAGAACAAAAAGAGGACAGCGGTTCAAAAAATCTACCTGATTACCAGAACCGACTGCATTATTATTTTGATCTGCATAGTAACATTAATCACTTAAAGATGTAAATGCAAAACACCGTAGCCAAAGCTTAATTAACAAAGCACACTAGCTATGACTAACTAACTAACGTCACTATAGTAACTTAAAAATATGGATAACTGAAATTTTTTAGCAATAAAACTAAAAATAATATTTCACAATAATTTAAAAATCAAGAAAGAAAATAAAAATCTGTTAAACTAACCAGTAGAAGAGCTTGTTACATAGCGTCCTCGACCAACAAAGAAAATCAACGGCGACAAAACGCAGAAGAAAATCACGACTATAATCGGCAATCTAGATCCAACACCGCTTCGGTTCTTGTTCGCGTCGGAACTTGATAATCCCCGCTTCAACGCCATTGCCGCCTATCAAAACCTACAAATGAAAACACACAAAGAAAAAGGAAGGAGAAGGAGAGAGAGAAAGCGAATCAGAGAAAGCGCGTTATTGAAGGGAAATGCATTGATCTGATATGATTATTGATGAAAATGTGAAGTCAGATTTTCTTTATAAAAAAAGGAGCGTGAGAGAAATTATTAGTACATGAGAAAGAACAGAGGAAGGGAGATTTTCTGTTTTGATTTCGATTTCTGTTCACCGGGTATCTAATCTAATTTGTGTGTTTCTTAGCCTGGAGGAGGAGGAGGAGGAGGAGGAGGAGGAGAGTGTAATTAATTTCTTTCTTTTCTTGTTTTTTCTGTTAAAAAAGATAAAATTACGAGTACGTGTGAGATTACGATGTCGTTTTCGTCGACAGTCTGGACCTTGCTTTTATTGGAACTGGGACCCAACACCGACGATAATCGTGGTGTTCTTTTCAAGTTGATCATAGATAATAATAAACTTCTTCTTTTTTTTTTTAAATGATGATTGATCATTTCGATTTACTCTCGGATATACGTTCTACTAGTCCTTATCAACATCAACAGATCCTCCCATCCCGTGCTTATTTACAATGTTACCTAAATTACTTTTAAAAAAGTGCTAGAAAATAAGGATCGAAATTATATTTCTTGCAAGCTTAATTTTAGTTGTTTTGTTTTCTTTTTTCATGAAATAAAATTAGTCTAAAAATGTTAGAATTTGTAGTTCTAAGAAATTAATAAATAAATAAATAACATATATGTGCTCATAAGGATGCCTATTAAAAAGGTTAGTAAGTTCTTTTTTTGCATTGCCTCCACTAATATATAAGTTTTTATTTTATTTTTTCACCATAAAAGGTGTTCTTACACCAGTACATTTAGAAATGGTAATCCCAAATTTTGAACTTAAAAAACAACGTGAATAAACCTCCTTAACAACTAAATCCAATTTTGAGGTTTTCAAATATTATTCTCTAGGATTTAATGCAAGGAAATACCGGAGAAATAAAGTGTTTTTTTTCTCCGGTCAATGCAATGATGGATCAAACATGAATCTTTGAGACAATCTATAGCTGCAGTCATTGTTTTCTCCCACTTAACGGCCTCCTTTTCAAAACTCACAAAATATCTTGAACTTCCAGATTATGTAACAATAACGACTTCGATTGAATAGCATGCACAATTAGCTAACGTTGATAGGAATCTGAATTCAAGAAGACAGCATAACCGGGCATGAGCCACTAGGGACCCAACTGCCCAATTGTTGGATAAAATTTTGAGCCAAGTGCATATATCATAACAACAATTCTCACCATGTACAGTATAGTAAGCTCATCAGCAACACATCATTTTCAATCTCTGAAGCATTTTTCTAGCTGGAAATCCTAGACTATGGAGAGGGTAGCCATTCGGAGGTGCTCATTGTTGACCTTTGAGCAGATCCCATCATTCTTGGCCAAAAAACAAATCCAGAAGTACCAGAAGCCCTAAAACTTTTTCTGGGCCGAAAAAGATGGCCAGGCCGAAAATAATAACAATAATAAAATTACATCATTCCAGGGTAGATCATAGATTCACTAATCACTAAACAAAGCTCATATTACCTATTGAATAGCAGGAATGGAAGTTTCTTATATTGCAAAATACCACTAAGATAATGCTCGAAGAAACATCATGGAATATGATGTACATGTAATGTAGAGCGCAAATTCCATCAAGTATTCTCCAAGTTACAATAAATATCAGCCTGTCCAGCCAAACATGTTGAAACTCTTCGGATACGATCAGCTGACTACCCATCCCTTTCTGATAATACAAAATCAGATCATCTTAGGTCTTTGTGCGCATACAATACATCTCAAGCCTACTGACAAAAAACCTAACAACGTTCAACCTAATTACCTAAATATGACATAGTAAAGGCTCTACAGAATTGCCACATCCAAGTAATCTCCAATCTGCACAAGTGAAATACAAGTTAGTGACATTCAATTATGACTATATACAGTTCATTAAAGAGAGCCATCTGGTTTTACCTGGAAGCCTAGCTGAGCCAATGCTTTGTTGTCATCTAATTTCCCATTTCTATGAGAATAGGTCTTGCCCACCTTCATTAAGCAATGGAGCATTCACAATCAGAAGAAAAAAGAACTTTATGATAGGTCTCACTATACCTCAAGCAGGAAAGCATGCATGCATTATTAATAATGCTAAAATGATTATTAAGATTCTATTCACCAATCCAACATATGCTTAAATGCAATACTAGGCCAGACACTGATCGTCGAGTGAAGGAGTTATTTAACAAATAAATGTGATGTTAGGCCTTCATATATAATTTTCTTGGGATGATTCGGGCAATAAAATGAAACAAGGAAAAGAGCATCATTTGTGCATTCTCTTGGTGATACCCATCAAGAAACGATGACAAACACGGTTATAGCCAAAGAGCATTGAATGATGCATTTGTACAAGCGCATGGGTTGATATGTCACCATAAGCTTTTGAGGGTGGAGAAGGTGGGACGAGATGGCTTGTACATACAGCATACATGAATTAAAAGAAGATGGAAATCTCTCCTCACATGCATGCCTGCGAGTGCAAAGAGAAAAGGAGACAGAGAGAACTAACCTCTCGTACAACAAAACGGCCATTTTTATCAGGATATACAAAAGCAAAGGACAGTCTTGCATCTCTTCTCCTAGCTGCTGGCGTCACCTCTTTGACCTGTGAAAGAGATTAGATAAAATATGGAGCCAAAAATACTAAAACTAAAACACTTAATGCAGAGAAGAGCAAACATTAAATACAAGATTTGGTGAGCACACAAACAGTGAAATCGAGGCAGCAAATAAATATTATTGATAAACTGTTCTGGTGTCTCGTCAATTCTCAAACACCAAATATGCAACTCAACACAGATTCAAGGGTGCCATGACTCCCATTTCAAATCTCATTGCATCTCCACACAGTATAATATTGCAGAGAAACAGATTGTGCTCTAGGGATAGACAGCTAAACCAAACCCACTACAGAATGCAGGACCTTAAAGATTATTGTACAACCTTTATTTTTCTAATCTGATTATGACTAATTACTTCATGACACAACAATGTGAAAGCCAAAGTACACAGGCACATAAGGTCCCACCCTTGGGGGGGGGGGGGAGTACTGTATTACTCGAGCCCTTTCCCCTTCCCCTCCTGACAGAAGGAAAGACAAGAGCTCCAAACTTCCAAATGCGAGTATCAATCCCAAGCTGATTGTCTTTAACTTTATCAAGTAACAGTTGATGTTATGTCTAAGAACTTAAGATAGCTGAACAAACAAATACAAGCAGACACTATTTATTTGCTCCAATCCTATTACTCTATCTCCCTGTCCACTTACCCCCCTCAAAACTAAAATTCTTAGCTCAGCCTCATCCCATGCTGAAAGGAAACCCCAATGCAAAAGCACTAAATGCCTCTAACCTCGGGAGTGCTTTTGCTCCTAAGCCATCACTCATAAGGCCACAACTTCCACCAATGACATGCCAGTTCCCATTCAATATTTATAAACAAAGCAATACAACATCTTATCAGCTTACCAGATCAGTTAACTCGCGAAGAGTAGCATCCTTCCAAGTATAAATTTGAACCTCGTCTTTCGGCTCCTTGCCTCTCACTGCAAAATCCTCCTTACTATGGTGTTCTCCAATCTGCCAGAAAATTCAGTAAATCACAAATTATAGTTCAATTTCCGGATAGATTATTACAATTTGCACCACAAATTAAACATACCTTGGTAAAAACCCGAAGCAATAAAGGGCACGTCTGCATATTTAAAAATAAAATACAAATTCAGCCCAAAAAAAAAAAAAATAGAAAGGTGGACTATATTTGAAACCCTAGAAGAAGCAAGAAAGGGAAAAAAGAAACGTGTACCTTCTCCCGATCAATAGGCGGAGGAGGAGGAGGAAGACCTCTAGCAGGAGGAGCTAATGGTCTGCCTCCTTGTCTCCTCCGCACTTCTGCCATTCCCAACATCGACAGGGTTTTTTTTTTCCCCCTTGTTTTCTTCCTTTTTACCTCTGCAACTAACACTCAATTGAAGAGGAGAGGGGAAGAGAAGGGAAGCTTCCTTTTGTTTGCTCCACGGTATGCGACCCATGGACATATAATTTTGGGTTTGGGTTTTGGGTCTGGGCTGGAAAAGTCTTCGGTTGAGATAATCTAGTTCTGATTTAGTCCATTGGATCTCATACTTTATTTTGGAAAAGTAATGTTACCTCAAAACAATCTAAAAAATTTCAATAATTAAGGGGTTTTTCTCTATGTTTCACAATTTTAGTTTTTGTTTTCAAATTTTTGGTACCAAAACCTGTTTGGTTTGGTTTCTATTTTAAACAAAAGTAAAACTCACGACTACTATCATACTTTTTAAAAATTATAAATTATACCAAAAACCTATTTTGTTTGGTTTTCTATTTTAAACAAAAGTAAAACTCTTGACTACTATCATAATTTTGTAAAATTATAAACTATACTTATTATATATGCTTGATTTTTCTATAAAAATTAATTAAAATTTTAGTTAATTGTACTATGTACTAATTCATATCATTTTTCCACATGTATTCAAATTATACAATAAATAAATTGAACTAAGGATGTTTCTCGTCCAATACAAAATCTTAGACTGCAAAAGGATGAACGAAGATATTCTAGTAAGACTAATATCTATGTTTTGTTTTTATGATGCATTAAAGAGACTAATTTAACGAGGCTTAGAGCAAAGTCTACTAAGAAAATATCTAATTGTTATTTTCTTTCATTTTTGCTAGCAATTACTTGAAGCAATTTAACCTCGAAAAATTTAGTTTCTTCAATATAAGTTTGATCATTTAAACATAAATGACGTGGTGCAATTTAGCGGTTAAGAGTCATCCTCGTTTTACCATAAATATTAACCTCATATTATTGTGAAAGAACAAAAACTATTTAAATTTTAACCAAAACCTTTAAAATTTCTCTTTTAAAACTCTTTCATTCATACATTTGACTCGTTTGACCAGCCAACTATTTGACTTACGCTTTATTAACACTATCTATTACTCATCTCGCATCGCTTACTACTTGTATCTATTTTATTTTGTTGGTTGATTGTTATTTTTATAAATCACAAACTTAACTTTTTTTATCATTGTATGTTTGGTGACTCGTCATTTGATCAATTCTCAAAAACTCATCCACAAACCTATTAGATTTATTTTTCTTCTACATATATTAAAACGATATCTATTATAATAATCATTAATAGTTTCCAGTTTTATGTACAATGAAAGAGTAATACATCATAAATAGTTAATAAATATGTTTTTAAATCATTTTTGTTTGGTTTTCTAAATCTTTGCAAACTAGTTGTCGATTTTAATTTTATGTTTTGGAAAAGAGGAAACAAACATAAACAAGCCATTATTACTTCCATTTTCAAAAACTTAATCACAAAATTGGAAATTCCAAACATATATACCAAAAAATCTCAAAATTTACAAGACTCGTTAATGAAACTGACTCATTCGGTACATTCATGATATTTTTTAATTAACAGAAATGACTTGTACGGCATCCCCATCACTTCAGAAGATAAACCAGTGAAAATTTAAACTACAAATAATGAATTACCCCCACTCCACATGCGCTGCAGTGCCATGAAAGTGAGAGGACGCATGACGGACCAAATTTCTTTAAACTCTCAACAGTTAATTATGTCGTTCCACGTAATTATGAGATTGGAAGTAAAAATTGTGAAAAATAAAGTAAAATAATTTATCATAATTGAATTTTTAGTAAGTGAATACTCATCTTTCAATAAATAAATACATGATTAAAAATAACATATAGTAGTGTGACGTTATATGAAAATGCACCCAATTACAGATACAAAGTTGGTGCCCCTCGCATACCTTTGCAGGTTTTTATACACCAAGTTTCTACAATTACCTGATCAGTTCAATATAGAAAAAATCAAATGAGTATCAATTTTAGAAATGAAGGCAACAGATAATTCCAAAGGAATAGTTCACATAATAGTACTGTGTACTGTTTTGTTCCCTCTTAGTTACAAGGAGAGATAAAATGCTTAATCAGTTCTTACACAGTTGAAAGCTCCTCTGGGCCTAGATAGCGAAGGGCATTGCAAGAAATAGAAATTTGCATTGAAGAACCCCACTCAGCCGGCCATCAAAACTTTCCCTAAATGGCAAGCCCTAATCACCATCACCCCTTCTTGTATTGGACGACCCTGCTGGCGCTTTGTCATTGTCCAAGAGTAGTTGGATCCCCCACGAAAATTATGTGTCACACTTTATTAATGCTGTGATGCTACAACTCAATGTGGTTACCTTTTTCCTTTTCAACTCTCAACCTGTTTTGCATCTGTCTGTGGTTGTTTTCTTTTTGGGTAATGAGGGATGTTTGTTTATGGATTATCATAAGAAGGGAAATCCATTCACATGGTCATGCCAATTATGTTAATTGTTAGCAAGTTTGTCCAACCCTGTGACACCCTATAAAGAAATTTGCAAAATAGAGGAAGTTAAGTACGTGGTTTGGACAGGACTGAGCAATTGTAGCAGGGTCATCCCATCCAACAACTATTAGTATGAATCTAAACACTCCACAGTAGCCTTTCCTCCCTTCAACTCAGACATGCATGCATGGCCAAACAATTATGGTTTTGGGATAGGGTAACCGAAATTAATTCTATCATGAGTACTGACCAACAACTGAAATATGTTTAATTAGAAGAGCTTCAGTCGGCTTACTTCTAAAAGTAATTTATTTTATCTTTTCAATGATTGGGTTTGACTAACAATATATATATTCTCATCAGTACTCACTCTCAATCTTAGTGACAGGAGGAGCAAATTAAATAGCTAGTCAAGAGCATGGTAGATTACCCTAAAAATATATTGATCCAAGTTGTAACTAAAAGATTAGTGTGAGTCCATAAATTCAATTTCGAGTAATGAATAATTAGTTATGGTAATCCTAAGGGACCGCAAATAACCCAACGCTTATAATTTTATTGTGTAAATATTGAATAGTACTGGCTAGGGAGCTCTTATAAATTTCATTTTGTAGAATAGATTTTGTTATAAAATAATATAAATTATATTTTTGGTCTTATTCAATAGGTTAAGATTCTGGATTGAAATAATTTTTTTTTAACATAATATCAAAATTTTGATGACCAACAATCACTCGGTTTAAATCTTACCACTTGTATTATCTTTTATCAAAAATAAATAATTAAGTACAAAGTAATGATGAGCCTATATAAATTTTAAATTCAAAACACTTTTACTTGAAATGGTGTGTTAGATTTTAATATAAATCATTATTTTAGAATCTTTCTTAATTAATAGTTTAAGTTTTTTAGTTGAAATAATTCTTTGACGGATGCGATGGTTAAACGATAACTTTGTTTTTCCATATTATGATCTTGGATTTGAAATCATCCTCGTCATTAGAAAGAAATTTTACTCCGAGCAAACCAATTTAGATGTGATCAATTGCCTATTTGCTTAAGAGATCATAAACATAATAGCTATTTTTGCTAGAAGTAGCACATGAATTAAGGAGTTTTGGTAAGCGATTGAATTCCTTCGATATAGTTTTGAAAACCACTTGGTATTTTAACCAAGCATATTTCTTACTCGAATTTTTCTTTTTATCAAACTCTTTTTTTTTTTTCACTTCATCCTAGTTGTAAAAGCTAACCAACCTCTAAGTGAAATTCACCCTAAAAGTGTGTTTTGTATGATTTGTTGATAAATGCCTGCTATAAAGAAAGAAAATAGATAGTTATTTAAGTCGGTTGTAATTAGTTGAAATGGAAAATAGTTTGTTACCTTTTTAGTTAGGTTGGTTAGTTTGCTATCTTTCTTCCGTAGCTAGACAAGTCTATTGTTATGTATATATAACATGTGTAAACATTCACTATTGAATAAATAAAAAAATTAGAATTCAAATTTACTTTCTTCTTCTTCTTCTTCTCTCTCTCTCTCTCTCTCTCAAGTTCAATCTTAGTTTTTTCTTCTTCTTAATTTCAACATGGTATCGAGCAAAAAAAAATCTAGAATAACAAGCTTCAGTTGTGTTCATCATCATCTTCCTCGCTTAATTCATTCCGTTGATCTTGTAAGCTTCGGTGAAGATTGTCTTCTTCTTCGACTAGCTTCATTTCATCAAATCTTGATAAGATCTTTCTACTTCGTTGTTTTTCAAGATCTTACTAAAAGTTCATCAATGGCTATAAGAGAAAGAATAGTGGATTCTTCATCTAATTCAAATGTAATCTCACCATTAGAAGATCCTTCATCTTCATCTAATTCAAATGTAATCTCGCCATTAGAAGATCATTCATCGTCATATTTTTTGCATCATTTTGATCATCATGGGTTTGTAATAGTTTCTCTTGAACTCACATCTAGCAACTATGCTATATAAAGTAGATTATTCTTACTAACTATTTCAATTAGAAATATTTTTGTGGATGGATCGATTAAACCACTTATAGCTAATGATCTTCTATATAAGTACTTGAATAAGATGCAATAACTTGATTGTTGCTTGGTTATTAAGGTCAATTTCACCTATAATTACTTCTATTGTATTCTACATTGATTATGCTTCTAAGATTTAAAAGACTTTGAAGAAGAGATTTTCACAATCCGATGATGCAAGGATTTGTAACTTGCAAATGTAATTATACACAATCTCTCAATGAAGCAAGTTAGTGGATAAATATTTCACATAATTAAATAGTGTTTGAAAAGAATTGAGAAATCACGGACATTTACCTTATTGTTAATGTGGTAGTTGTAATGATGAGCGTTTTCAAAATTTTTTGAATATACAACAAAAGGATCATGTCTTTAGGTTCATCAATGGACTTAATGAAATGTATTCGGCTCTCAAGTCTCAAATCCTAGTCATGAAAACTTTTCTTCGCTTAGATGAGGTTTACAATCTTGCTCTAA